GCCGTCCCACACAACTCCTATAAAGGTGGAAAGGAAAGAAACCGTTTAAGTTCTTCTTGTTTCTATAAATACAATAAAATCTTTACAAGTCCTGTCAGTTGTTAAGTTAAGCTATGAACAACAATGAATTCATCTTCTATTCAGTATAGATCCAAACAAGGGACCTGTCAGCAATCATTATGTACATGATCCCTGATTCCAGAATAAGGAACTCAACAAAAAAATAAAAACATTTGTTTGCTCCCAAATATTAGTAATTTGCACAATTTTTAATTACTAGGTGTAGTAGATATAGAGTTCAAAAGACATCTCTTATATTCTTAGTGGACAGATTTAAGTAAAATTCAATCAAAAGGTCATGGAGGAAAACAACACGGTTACAAAGCCCTTTTACTTGCCCTATCACTGTTCCAGAGCACCAAAGTTAGAAGTCATCTTAAAGATAATCAAAGACAAGTAAAACGTGGCTGAAATTCAAGGGCTTCTACTCAGAGACCTGTTTCGGGTCTCACTATACAGCTCCTGCTGGCCTGGAACTCTCAGAAGTTCACCAACCGCTGGTATTAAAAGCAGAGATCTCTTTTAGCACTGTCTCTCAGATCTGCTGAATTGAAGGGGTTCTCCCTGAGCGACTCAGGCATACCATACATACCTCTTGCCACACCTAAAAGACAAAAATCCTCATTTTATCCACAAAACAAAAAGATTCCTAACATAAGATAGCTTTGATATGAGGGCCTGCTTGTTGTAGAAGGTAACACTCACCAAAGAGAACAAGACCCTTTGCAGGATTTGAAGGCAGAAAGTAGAGCCTGTTGGTATCAGCATTGTTTTTCCTTTCAGGCATTTGGGTCTTTGTTTCCATTTTTAAACTTTTCAGTGGGTACAATGTACCACAAATAATGGAAACCCAGAGACAGATACTGGGGTTCAAGCTGAAGATCAGAAAAGCAAAGCAGCTGACCAATAGCTCTTACTTAGACCTATATCCAGGAATCCTCAGCATGAAATGCAGACTGTATTCTCTCCACCAAGCCTCAGATTGCAATCCTGAGCTCCTGTCTCCTCCTGCCTTATATTCCTCACTCCACTCCGCCATATCACTGTCTCCACTCCCCACTCCCTACAAGTGCTGAGATCACCTTTGTTGTGTGAGCTGTTTCTCTTTTAGATTGAATCAATTTCATCTAGCTCAGTGTGGCTTTGAACTAACAGAGATCTGCCTGCCTGACTCTGTCTCCCAAGTCCTGGGATTAAAGGTGTGTGCCACCACTGCCTGGCCTCTAAGGCTTGTAGCTGGCTTTGCATTCTGAACCCTCAGGCAAGCTTTAATAAATCATAAATAATGTATCACCACAATTCAGACTGATTGAAAGCATCCATAGGCATCTTTTTCTTTCCCTTTCACCTTACATATTGGGGAAAATTAACTGGGTCTAGTGAGATGGCTTCCTGGATAAAGAAGCTTGCCAAACCTGAGTTGAATACCCAGACACTATAATAACAATAGAAGGGTTGACCTGACTCCACAGAGGTCTGCATTTGCTGGCATGGCATGACCACTCAATATATATATACAGTAATAAAAAATTAAAAATCCAGTAACTGATTTCACATTGCTCCTCCAATTATCTAAATTTACATGTCGATAATAAATATATTCAGAAATATGAGAAAACATCTGACTAGAGAAGGGTCCCGGAGGCCAAAGCCAGCCTAAAAGCACACACACACACACACACACACACACACACACACACACACACACACACAGCATACCACCTGGCTCACACGTGCACAAAGAGCTCACAGTCACTGCCATTAGGGTTGGACAGCCTCCAATGAAACCCCAGTAGACTTCCACATGCCAGCGTTTGGCAAAATAAGCCACTATCTTTTGAAGAAAGTTCCAAGAATTGAGGCTATACCATAAGCTAGCGGGCAGATCTCCAAATGCCCTCAGGAAAAGTGGAATTCTGCCAACAGTACGGCATTACTCCAACAATGCAAACCCAAGAGGATCAAGGGAAGGACTTTGATACACACATAAATGTGTGGCTAAGAGTTAAGTTACATAATATGAAACATTAAAAATGTACAAGAGTTCCCCACAAACTAAACACTCCGAAGCTAAACTATGCTTCACTGTCAGCCCAAAATATAAACTTCTATACCTCAATTTTATATTATGCAGATACAGAAGCAATTCTGTTACTGTTTTGAGACAACAATCTCACTACACAACCCAGGCTAGCTTTGAACTTGTGATCCTCTGCTCAGCCTCCTGAGTGCTATACAGGTATGTGCCATTTGACCTAGCTTCTGGATAGTTTACCTAATATAGGGTTGTTGTTAACAAACCACACAGGTCTCCTCACTCCAGATAGGGAACCCACCACAGACCAAAGTTCGGATACTACCAAATCCAGCTTGGTAAACCAATGAGTTTTATTGGGGTCACTTACAGGAATATAAGGGAGGATTTGCTCACAAGAGAAGTGACTCAGACAGCTGCATCCCCAAGGCCTACCCCAGCATGGGTGACAGCTCACAAAAGCTGGGGACCTGGCACACACTACAAAGCCTGTACACAGCACAAGTAACTCAGCTGGTCTTAATGTTAACTCTTCCAGGCAGCTTGTCTAGTTTCTGCTTGCTCCAGGCAGCTGGTCTGGGCTCGACTGAGAATCTTCTGCAACTCAGCTTTGTTCCATCTGAGACAGACTCTTTTTATTGCTCAAGGTGACAGGGTGGGGCTGAGCAAATCTGATCAATTTCAGGAATTTCCTTTAGTTTACCTTCTTGCATAAGTAACTTCCTTGTGGGATAGAAATGAAGTGTTAGGCAACAAGGTTATCCATTCCAGTAAACTTTTTATTATTATTAATTAATTAATTAATTTTTTTGGACAGCATTTCTCTGTGTGGCCTTGTCTGTCCTGGTACTTGCTCTGTAGAACAGGCTGGCCTTGAACTCACAGAAATTTGCCTGCCTCTAGCTCCCAAGTTTGGCAACTTTTTAAAAAGTATCATTTAAATTTTATTATTTGTTTTATTATGTGCATTGGTGTATTGCCTGCATATGTTTGTGGACCACTTACCTGAGTTACAGACAGTTTTGAACCGCCATGTGGATACTGAGAATTGAACGTGGGTCCTCTGGAAGAGCAGCCAGTGCTCTTAAGTACTAAGCCATTTCTCTAGCTCCTCAGTAAATGTTTAATATTTTATTTATTTTTTTATGTCTATGGGCATTTTCCCTGCATGTATATATGTGCTTTGCATGGAGGTCAGAAGAATGCATTTCATCCCCTGGAACTAAAGTTACAGATAGTCATGAGCTGTCATGTGGATGCAGGGAACAGAACCCAGGTCCTCTACAAGAGCACCCAGGTCTTGACTGCTGAGCCAACTTTCAAGCCAGCCTCAGTAAATGTTCTAATGGAAGTAAAACATGACCATAACACCAAGGATCATTAAAATATTTTAATACTAATATACATGTTTTTCTTTTCTCAGAAAGACACAAAATTCTTATATATCAGTATTTAACAAAAAATCCTATTGACATAAATATCAAATATTTTAGAAACAGAATAACTGACATATTTCAACAAAATTTTCTCTATTGTTTTGGAGCATACAATACAGACCCAAATGGAATAAGGGTTGCTTCAATCATGACAGCTATTTTTGTAACTTTAGTCTTTCACAGCTTAGTGCGTGTGCACAAGATCCTCACAGATTGTGACACGGAGAAACCACTGCCCATTTTTCACCATATCTAAAAGGAAAATATCCTCATCTGATTCACAGTAAAATAATCTTCATGTAATGTTTGTACCACTTCCGAGTCTAAGAACAGAGAAGTACTCTGTGCAGAACATTTCTTGTAGGAATCTATTGTTGTGGAGAACCGCTAGGGTTAGTTTCCTCTGTAAGTGATTTCTGAATGTTTCAATGTGCCCATCCCAAGGATTGAATAACTGCCTCATCTATTTACCTGGGAGATGCTGTCTCTTGAACTGAAGATTATAATATGTATCCTTCAAATTAATGGATGGGAGAGCTTAATAAATGTAGCCACCAAGGGCTGAAGTGAAGAAGAAATAAAAAAAAAAAAGGTTTTTCTGTCAACACGCACATCCCTCTCAGGTGTCCATCACAGTGTCAGTGAGGAAAATGGAAGACTAACCCTGAGAGAACAGAACACACAAGAGAAATGATGAAGCCTCACACCTAAGGGCTGGCTCCGCCCCCATGGTCGCTAACTTTTCACTTACATTTCTATTTTCCAACTTTCTGAATTGTTAAGACACATTTCATCAGCTCTCTCTCTCTCTCTCTCTCACACACACACACACACACATGCATATGTACACACACACAGACTATACAGTATGGCATTACACACACGTGTATACAATATACAGTATGGCACTTGGCACCAACTCAACATGTTCAGTAAGTACACAGGAAGAATGTAAGGCACTTTCGCGGTTTACAGAAGTGAATGCCTCCAAGTTAGATATGAAGAAATGTCCTCGCAAAGTTTATAGGAATTTAGAAAACCCAAGTAGGTATGAATCACCAGTAATCCTGGCCAACATCTTGGGAACCTTAGTGTGACCAAAGGACAGAGGTGTGATATAAATAATTGGTTAAAACTACACAATACTACACCCAGTGTCTTATAAAAAAAAAAAAAAAAAATTGCAGGGAAGTCCTTTTAGGGACTTTCATTTCCCGGGCACAGGAAACTGTGATGTAGGTAACAAGCACACAGGTACACCACTATTGCGATGGCGTGACGCTGCCACATTACACGTTAGAGAGACCTACAAAGACACTGAGAGTTTTATGCTACTTAGAAATGTGTAATTTCATGTGTTTTTTTTTTTTTTTTAAATCAAGCATTTTCGGTTTCCAGATAAAACATCGCAAAATAATGTAAGCTTTCCTGACTCTTCATATTAAAAGAATGTCATGCCCTACAATACACCAGAAAAGAAAAAAATTTAAATATTATAAAGCCAAACACTGAACAATCCTTTTATGCTGACTTCCCAAATGTTCTATAGGAGCGCTTCCTAAATCACAGTGCGTTGGGTAAATCTCTAACAAACTCAAGGTTTCAGAACTGGTACAGACCCATTTCTCTTCTTTGCTCATAGGAATATGGACCTAAAGTTTTAAAAATTATATCTGTTATATCCTGCTAATAAGTCAATGGTTCTTATAGCCTAAAAAGTATAGTTTTAAAATAATTTTCCTTAAGTTATAATTTAAAAATACAACCAGTCGATCCTTGCTGCTTGTGTGGGGAATATGACACGAGTACAGCTCCCTTCATCGTTCATAACTTAAATCTTTGCTGAACTTCATCTGCAATCATTCTAGAAATCGCCAGGGAGGAAGTGGCAGCAGGAGAAGGTGCATTTCTCACATGAAGGACACGGTCTCCAATATCACCAGCTCCACCATCAAACACAAAATCGTCTACCAGATTCCCATCTCTGTCCAAGGCCTGAGCTCGTACCCCAGCCGGGCCTCTGTAGAAGCAAAAACAAAGGGTTACTCATCTGAGCCAAAGACAAAGCATAGTCTACAAGTTTTCAGAATATTCTTAAGGTGATAAAAATCTTTATTCTAAATGCAGTTAAAAATCTTTATTCTAGATGCAGTTATTAGCAAAAGCTGTGGAAGATTCTCTGGCCAATGCACAGCCTTAGCTAGAGCAGAATGATTGGCAAGTAACAGTGTAATAAATACTACCAAATAGGGGCTGGAGAGATGGCTCAGTGGTTAAGAGCACTGCAGGCATTTCCAGAGGTCCTGAGTTCAATTCCCAGCACCCACATGGCAGCTCACAATTGTCTATAACTCCTGTTCCAGGGGATTCTCACACAGACATACATGCAGAAAAAAGACACCAATGCACATAAAATACAAATAAATGATTTTTAATAAGAGTATCAAATATAATTACAGTACTTATAAATATCTGTTCTTTCCTAAAGGAGCAGAAAATCCACATTCAATCAGAACAGATTTTTTACTTAAAAAATCATAAAATAAATTCACTCTAGAAATCAGTTAATGGCAATTGCAGAAATCAGTGGCAGCAGCAGAAACTATGCATAAAGCAGTGGCATTAGAAGCTGCTTCCATCTGCAACTCCATCTAGTCTATTGTTCTTTTGTATTTTGTTTTGATAAAATATTAAAATTTATAAAGAAAAATAATAATTCTAATTTGGTTTTTTAAAAAAATACTTAACAGTAGCCAGGCAGTGGTGGTGCACACCTTTAATCCCAGCACTTGGGAGGCAGAGGAAGAGTGAGTGCCAGGACAGGCTCCAAAGGTACACAGAGAAACCCTGTCTCAAAAACCCAACAACACCACAAAATTTCTTAACAGTTTAACCTCTAATATCTAAGGAAAACCTCCAATTAATTCAAAAGAAGTGGCAAGTGCAAAATGAATTAATTCAGTAACATGTTAGTATTGTAGTGAGTCAACTCAAGTTCTACTTTTTGTTTGTTTTGTTTTGGTTGAGGCAGGGTCTTACTACAGAGCCCTAGCTGTCCTGGAACTCATTATGTAGACCAGGTTGGCCCCAAACTCACAGAGATCCACCTGCCTCTGTCTTGGAGTGCTAGATTAATGGAGTCAGTCACTACACCTGGCTTTATTTTATTTTGTAATTAATTATTGTTTAAAGATAGGGTCTCATGCAGCCCAGGCTGTTCTTAAATTCCATGTGCAGCCAAGGATGACCTTGAACCTTTTTAAAATTCACTTTTAAACATTTCTTTTGTATTGGGGTGGCTTCATTTTAAGACTAGGTGAAGAGACAGATGCTGTAGGCAGACGCCTGGGGTAGCCGATTGTTCCTGACCCATGCTGGGCAGAAGAGGGATCTTGACCACAGGCCAGAGCCACTTTTTCCTCAAGACTAAGGTTTATCTGCACTGGCTGCTCAGTGCATATTCTTGAACACTTGCTTGCAGACCTGTGCTCTCATCTCCTCAATCTACTTGGTCCAACTCCATCCCTCCTTCTCACCCTTCGGCAGACACTGCAGCTTGTCCCCAGGGATCCCAGCTCACTATGGTCATGTATTTGAAGTCATCTATGCCTGTCAGATCCTTCTCAAGCCCCTTCCCAACCTGGAAGTCCATGATGTAGTTCTTAAAAGTGCTCAGCCTATGGTTGCCTTCCTATATGATCTTTTTGTCTGGCTTTGGTAAATTGGCAATTTTCTAGAGGGCCACGTTGACGTGGAGCCCATACAGGTATTCCTTAGAAATTCTCATTTTCTCAGCATCTTCCACTACCCACTGAAGTCCACAGGCATTTTGTGGACAGACTAGAGATGGTCATGGACAGCCACAGAGAGCAGGAGCACTCTTGACCTTGAACTTGTTGATCCTAGTCTCTACACACTGAGTGCTGGGACTATAGGCATGTAAAACCACGCCCAGTTTATCCCCAGCCAAGATTCTGTTTTGTAACACAGGAGGTTTTTAGGTTTAGATTTCTGCTGTTTTATAATATAGTCAAAATTTACAAATGAAGTTTGAATTAAATGCATTTAGAATCCAAAATCATGTCTTTTGAAAGTGTTCACTTTCAAAGCAAAGTGAGGGGGAAAAAATCTATTTGTGCAGCATCAAGAGACAAGAAACCAGGCAATCATGAACAGTTTTTATTGATTTTCCGCTCAGATAAAAACCTGAGGATACCAAGGGCAACATGATAACACTGTCCTCTAGAACTCAGCCTTGATGAACAAGCTAAGGACAAAATTAGCCACTATCAACCAGGCGCGTATCATGTGCCGGCAATCATCTCATTTACCCTTACAACTGCTCTGAGAGGCTGGTAAAATATGTATGACACCTCAAAGATACACAAAAGATCAAGCACTCAGTGACACTGTTCACAGCAGAGCTGAGTAAGAATTACAAGGGTGAGAAATTGCATGATGAAGGTAAATGATTGGCTGTAGAGCACCAAAGCTTGGGGTTGGAAGTCTCAGTGAGCATCCAACAGCTCTTGGAGCACAGGAAGAATGGCACCCACATGACCATTTCTGAGGACACGGATGCACATCAGTGTGGGTCCCTCCTTTGTACTCTTTATAGCTCAGCTAACTCATGAGCAGCACTCCTCGATTTTCTTAGCAAAGAATGCTGTTGCTGATTAAAGTGCACACAGGTTCTTGTCATCCTGCCCTGTGTCTCCCAGAGGACAGTGGCAGGCACTTGCTGCTCTGTGTAAAGTTACTTTCCTCTGTACGAGCTTCAAACTGTATATCCCTCTTTATCACCAAGCATGCTGGAGTAGATGCTGACTAACCACAGCAAGACTGTATCTGCAGTTATTTCTCACACAAAGACAAATTATCCCTCAGTACCTTTGGCCTAAGTGTTCAAAATCTATAGCGCAAGTTAAAATAAAACACTTTTTCTCAAGATTTTACTAGCACTCAGACTAACATGAAATGTTTAAACTATCAAACTCTTCATGTTTCTTTTTCAGCACCTTAGGAAGTCCTATAACTCTCCCCTGCAGGGTTATATCCAGGCTTTCCTTTCAGAAGACTTCAGCTTGAGCTAAGTATTATTTGAAACCTTAGGGAAAATAAACCAAAAGTGTGTCGAGGGCCGACAATGTCTGTCAACATCTACCTCCATGTCTAGGTATGTGTGTTGCAGACTACAGGCATTGATTCAATAAGGCTACACATTATATTTTTAAACCTCCAATTCTTTTAACTTTTAATGATTTTTTTTAAAGAACTAAAAGGAAAGCCAGGTGATGGTGGTGCACACCTTTAATCCCAGCACTCAGGAGGCAGAGGCAGGAGGATCTCTGTGAGTTCCAGACCAGCCTGGTCTACAGAGCAAGTTCCAGGATAGGCTCCAAAGCAACAGAGAAACCCTGTCTCCAAAAAAAAAAAAAAAAAAAAAAAAAAAAAAAAAAAAAAAAAGAAAGAAAAGAAAAAAGAAAAAAAAAAAAGAATAAAAGAAAACTAAAAGGATAATTTAGCAAAATTATAAATATGAATTCAACTATATTTAATATAGTGCTTGCTATTTATAGCTAAGTATAATGACAAATTATATCCTAGGTACTAAACTATGTCCAGAAAGAATAGCAGCTGAATCTAGAACTACGTACATTCTTCCATCTGAGATACCCAGTACTGCATTACTGTCACATGGCAGATATACTGTGGCTGGGGAAAAAGCTATTAAGAGTTATAACTGACATCTTGGGCTACCCCCACATAGGATACCTCATCATAGGATGTACCACCAATCTAAATCTGTAATGCCGTGTGAACACATGTAACTGGGATGTGCTGCCTGAAGAAGATTAACAATCCCAATCTGTTTTCTGGACGTGTGGGAGCAACTATTGTCCTTACAAACTTATGAGAGAATACGGCTTTTATCTAGGCTCATCTTTCCTTATCTTCTGCCAGGCACTAGGGATGGAATCCTGTGCCTGGTATGGACTGTGAAAGTGCTCACCTACTCTACTCATACGGGCAGCCCTATGTGCCTAGAACCTTTTGAGATCCTATAAATATCCTGGGAAAGATTAAATAATACCAGCACTCTGTAATGGGCAGAAGCAATCTAGGCTAGTTGTTAGGGGCCTGATTCTGTAATTTCTCTGCTGACTCTCACCTGATTATGAGGCCCAGTTCAGTGAGACCTGAGCTGAGGGAATCCTATAGGTCTGAGTGTGGCTAGGTGAGTCCCTCTGCACAGGTTTTGTGTTTGCTTTTGGCAAGTGTTCTAAGGGGAACTTTACAAAAATGTATAAAGCAAAAAGAACTTCTTTGTATGAATTGTTGCATGGTAAATATTTCAACAGTTATACAAACACAACCATTCTTGTTTTATTTATACCTTGACTCAACACTCACCTTTTCCCAATGGAATTAAGGCATACCTCTGATGGCACACCATTTGATGTCAATGTGTAAGAAAACTATGCTTACTAATAAAGTAGTACATGTTTATTACTGACAATATTCAGCCCATATCAACCAAACTGGCTTCAAATTTTTACTCTCTAATTTATAGACAGAAGGATTGGTTGGAGAGGGGGGGGAGACTGACTGAGATTCAAGCAGAATCAAACATATCTGGGTCCACTTTTGTAAGTTAACATCTCTGCTTGTGTCCTTGTACTTTTAAATTCTCACACTCTCACATCCCAACCCTCAAGGCCACACAGACAAAATCCCTTAAGACATTTTGGTACCAAGGGAGGTATACTTTTTAGATTCTGTTTTTACTAAGAGACCCTCAGTGTTGCCAGGCATGGTGGTGCCTGCCTTTTAATCCCAATACTTGGGAGGTGTAGGCAGGTGGATCTCTGTGAGTTCAAACACAGAATTCCAGGACAGACAGGGCTCTATAGTGAGACCCTGTCCTAAAAATAAAAAAATAAATAGATAAAATAAAAAGAGTGCCTTACGTTCTAACTTTCTCTTTATATTGATCAAAAGCCCGCTTCTTACTACCTTTGGGGAAAATTAAAATATAAATCCCTAATGCTCTATTATCTTGTTTTGTGCGATGGACATGCACAACTTTCAAAATTCACTGAGCATTTAATATATGCATATTTTACTGCATGTGAATTATACATCAATGGAAAACATAACTCACAAGAGAGTTAGAGAGAGGGACTGCGAAATGCCACCTTGTGAGCACAACACAGCTACTGCAGTCACACGCGACTCACTGCAAATGAGGTGGCTAAAAATACATAAAAGAAAGTCAGGCATGGATGAATGACCTAAGGGGACTAAAGGTGACTGAAGTTCTGGGAGGAGTCTTTGCTTTCAGTTGTGTGACCACTAGGGAACTCCCAAGGCTCCAATGAAGAGTTCTGAAACAAAGTTTCCGCAGTCAAAGCTGATTAAATTCAGTAAGTCACAAAACAAAACAGAAACCATGAATCTGGGGAAAGGGGTTGATAGGAATGGAACAGAGGCATGCATAAATAAATAAATAAATAAACGAATAAATAAATAAATAAAGCTGAGGGAGAAAGTAATTAGAATGAACTCTACTTATGTATAAAATTGTAAAAGAATGAACTAAATAAAAAGACAAAGACCCGGGCCTCTCACTTATTAAGGTCTTCCCTATGCTTTAGGGTAGCATCAGTACCAACTCGTCTTGGCAAATGGGTTTTCAATTTCTTCTGTTTGGGGTATATGAATACCCCCATGTTTTCCTTCAATATTGGCTATATATATTTCAAAGATGTTTCTTGTATTTTCTCTTTGAATTTTGTAGTTGTGGGGTGGTTACCTAATTCTCTAGACTAGTGATTTCAACCAAGGGAAATTCTGCCCCCTAGAGGATACTGGCAATATATGGAGACATTTTGGATTGTTAAAAACACCAGGGGTGCTATTAAATATCCTGCACTGAGCCAGATGGGCCTCACAGTAAGGAATTATCCAGTGCAAAATGTGAACAGCACCAAGGTTATAAAAGTGTCTTGCATTGCATTTTATAGTGACATAATATAGTTTTTATTCTGAAATTTTACTTTTGAACTGCTTAATAACACATTTAACAAGATGATACATGGAAAAGGGGGAAATCATTGCATATATGACTTCATCATTACATACAGTGCCAACAAACTGCAGGAGCATTAACATGTAGGTGCCATGTTTATCAGAAAATCTCTTAAGGAGCTGGTTAGAGCTACTATTAAGAGCCTTGGGGACAAATCAGTATGTTTGTACACCTTATGTATATATCTAACAGATAATAACTTTACATTCCAGTCTTACGTATTATAGTAAATTATTGCCCACAATGCCTTGCTAAGCACTAAGAATCAAGAAGAATGTCTTTTTGTAGATATTGCTATTAAGGGCACAATTTCGGAGTAACACAACCTACCAAGTGTGGCTTCTATTAGCCTGTTGTTCCCTTGCAGTGCTGGGGATCCAACTCAGGTTCTCATGTATATATGCTCTGTTAGCTTTTACTATCTAGCACCATTTATGACACACTACTGACAAGACACTTATGGTCTGAATACACTAGGTTGCATGACAAATCTGAAGCTTTGAGCTGTGAAAACTACTAATGATCTTAATATTATTTAGTGTTTCAGGCATAAATACACAAGTAAATCACTAGAGATAGGGTAGATGTCTATGTGGTAGTCATAGATCCTGCTCTTCCCTCCCTAGAAGGAGCCCAGACACTCTTTAATTCTAAGATAAAAACAAAAAACAACCAAACAAACAAAACAAAAACGCCTCTTCCTGACACCCCTGTAGCAAGGATTTAGATTGATTATTGCCACACTAGCACCCACTGAATCAGGTACTTATTACTTCTATGATTGCTTTTTATTTTCATGGTGAGCCATACATAATATTATACTTGGGGTTTTTTGTTTGTTTGTTTATTTTTGTTTTTCAAGACAGGGTTTCTCTGTGTAGCTTTGTAGACTAGGCTGGCCTCAAACTCAGAGATCTGCCTGCCTCTGCCTCCTGAGTGCTACGATTAAAGGCACGCACACCTAGCCCTTTATGCTTGTTTTTCAACTAATGCAAATGGTATCAAATACACCTTCCTTGTTATTAGTAAATCCTGACTTATAAGCTAGAGGAATCTGTGACTGAGCTGACCGTCCCCACATGCACCAGCAAATGGCTTTGCCGCAGGCTTCTATAGATGGTGGTAACTGAATATGGGCAGTGAATTCTCTGCCACAGTTTCGGTATAGAAATTCAGATACCCATCTGACCAAAGAGTATTAGCAACAGTAGTAGAAACCTGATTTAACTGGTGCGTTTTCAGGCCTAAGACATTATAAGTCTGCAACTGCAAACCACTGAGAACATAAAAGGCTTGGTTTATAAGTGAGCACAGAAAATAAAGCCTCGACATTTTTATCCCTTGCATTTTAGAAGGTGAGTAGAGGAGAACAAGAGATAAGAAAGAAAACAGAAACTGGGCGTTTAACAGTTCTTCTAAAGAGTCAAGGAGAATGGCCTGAGAATGATACATTAGAGACAGATTTAGAACGGGAAAGTCTCCCCCACCCCAAGGGGGACAGCTGACATGATTGTTACTCTTTCCAGACACACAGTCAAGCTCTCTGACATAGTACACCTCACTACTTTCAACAGCTGCTCAGAGAAAGCAGACATTGGGTGCTTTGGAGCATCACAGAGGGGTGTATCACAACACAGTGTGAGTACCTCAGAGCACACTGTTGATTAGGCCTAACAACTGGCATGGACACCAAAAATATCACCACAGAGGAAAAACGCAGGCTTGGATGGTATTGAGGATAATCTACACATCAAGCCCAGACACTCTTTAATTCTAAGATAAAAACAAACAAACAGCCAAACAAAACAAAAACGCCTCTTCCTGACACCCCTGTAGCAAGGACTTAGATTGATTATTGCCACACTACTTCCCACTTCTGTCCTATAAGCAGAGTTGGATCTAACACAAATAGAAGTAGAGGGGCTGGAGAGATCACTCAGTGCCTACGAGATCTTAACCTGAGTTTGATTTCCAGTACCCTCTATGGGCAACTCACAAACACTTGCAACTCCAGTCCCATGGGATCCAATGCCTGTGGTCTGTCTCCTTAGGCACCAGGACTCACGTGCACATACCCCACCCCATACAATTAGAAATGAAATAAATCTTTTAAGTAGAGAAGTACACCCAGAAGTATTTGTCTAAAGGCTTTTAAGAGTCAATCAAGGTGGCCCACACTTTAATCCCAGAACTCAGGAGGCTAAGGAGGTAAACCTCTGTGAGTTTGAGGCCAGCCTGGTCTACAGAGTGTTCCAAAACAGTCAGAGCTACATAGAGAGAACCTGTCTCAAAACGGTAACAGCAAACTATTACCAATGAAAAGAGGGGTGGATAACTATAAAGACCCAGCTCTAAGGGCTGTGATACAGAAAAGCAAAAGGGATTCAAGCCTCCTGGGGGAAGAGAGCAAACAAAGATTCAGAGGATGTGCTGCCTGAAAGAGCCAGCACCAGCCAGACCTGGTTTACCACCCTCCCCAGGCTTCCATACCTTAGCACATCGCTGGTGGTGATTTCAGGGATGAACTTCTGAAGGTGCTTCACTGATTCACTGAGAAAACAGGCTTTATACATTTCCTTCACTCCATAAGAGAAATTGTGAAGCACCAGTTTCATGAAACCACTAAGAACAAAGAAAAAAAACTTCATGAGACAGAGGAACCTTTATTACTATAAAGTATCTTTTTATTACTATAAAGTCTCTTTTATGATAACGTTTTATAAAATATATTTTTATTACTATAAAATATCTTTTTTGGTGGCATCATATAAATCTATAAAAAGTCAGAAAATTATACAATAAAGACTTTTGACCAAGATAAGGAGAGGAATTCATCCATACTCAAAATTTGTAAGGAATGTGGTTTCAAACTGGTAATCTATGAAGCTTGCTAACACTAAGGCTTTTAACACGCTACAAAGCATCTTAGTACAGGGCATTAAACAAGTGAGACACTGATCCTAGTTTAGGCGGGTAGAGGTCCATTATTCTACAGATGGTCCTCAAGTGAAATTCTGTGCACATACTGACAAGTTCAAGCTAGTCCTCTTACAGAGTCTGCAGAGGGCAAAACCCATCTACACTTTAAAATGCTTTCCAGTGGTATAAAAACCTCCTGAAGAGAAACATTACTGAAAAGATCAAATAGAAGGCTAGGGAGATGGCTCATTTGGTAAAGTGTTTGCCATGCAAATATGAGAAGTTGAGATCAGATCAACACCTATGTAAAAAACAGGCATGGAAGTATACGCCTTTAGTCCCAGCACTGGGGAGGGAGAGAGAGAGAGAGGAAACTCCCTGGGGCTTGCTGGCCAGCTAATCTAACTAAATAGGTGAACTTCTAGCTGAGTGTGGGATCCTATCTCAAAAAAAAAAAAAAAAAAAAAAAAAAAAAAAAAAAAAGGCAGATATTGATTGAGGAAGACATCAAACCATGGCCTCCATACACAAATGTATGAACACCCATACGCACATGCATGCACACAGGAAAACAGGAAAAACCAAACAGAATATTTCATGAGACTATTTCTTAGAACAGCTAAGAATCTGTGTTATACAGAAAGGGAAAAGATATTTTCCAACCTCACATCTGACAGAGGGCTGATTTCCAAAATATATAAAGAACTCAAGAAGCTAGTCACCAAAACACCAAATAATCCAATTAAAAAGAGAGGTATAGAACTAAATAGAGAATTCTCAATAGAGGAATTTAAAATGGCTGAAAGAAACTTAAGAAAGTGCCCAGCATCCTTAGCCATCAGGGAAATGCAAATCAAATCAACTCTGAGATACCATGTTACTCCTGTCAGAATGGCTAAAATTAAAAACACCAAAACCAGTTTATGCTGGAGAGGATGTGGAGAAAGGGGAACACTCCACTGCTGGTTCCTCAGGAAAATGGGAATCAGTCTACCTCAAGATCCACATCCATGCAACAAGCACATCTGTTCAACTATGTTCATAGCAGCATTATTTGTAATAGCCAGAACGTGGAAGCAACCTAGATGCCTCCCAGCTGAAGAATGGATAAAGAAAATGTGGTACATTTACCCAATGGAGTACTATTCAGCGGACAAAAACAATGGAATCCTAAAATTTGTAGACAAATGAAAGGAACTAAAAGAAACCATCCTGAGTGAGGTAACCCAGTCACAAAAAGACAAACACGGTATGTACTCTCATATATGGACATTGTCTAATAAATAAAGCAAAGGATTACCAGCCTACAATCCATATCACCAGAGAATCTAGGAAGCAAGGAGGACTCTAAGAGAGACAGACATACATGGTTCCCCAGAGGAGGGGAAAGGGACAAGATCTCCTGAGCAAACTGGGAGCATGGGGCAAGAGGAGAGGGAATTAAGAGAAAGAGAAGGGGAGAAGAGGGGAGAGAGGACATGAGGGAGCAGGAAGATTAAGTCAGGGGAAGAATAGATACCTTAATAGAAGTATTCATTATAGGTCTAAAGAAAAATCTGGCACTAGGGAAATATCTAGAGATCTACAAGGATGACCCCAACTAACAATCTAAGCAATAGTGGAGAGGCTACCTTACATGCCCTTCCCCAATAATGAGATTGATGACTACCTTATATGCCATCCTAGAGCCTTCAGCTAGTAGCTGATGGAAGCAGAAGCAGAGACCCACAGCTAAGCACTGAGCCAAACTCCTGCAAGCCAGTTGCAGAGAGGGAGGAGTGATGAGCAAAGGAGTCAGGACCAAGCTGGAGAAACCCAAAGAAACAGCTGTCCTGAACAAGGGGGAGCTCATGGACTCCAGACTGATACTGGGAAACCAGGATAGGGCCGACCCATACCCCCTGAACATGGGTGTTAGTTAGGAGGACTGAGGAGTCTATGGGGCCTCTGGTAGTGAATCAGTATCTATCCCTAGTGTACAAATGGATTTTGGGAGCCTATTCCACATAGAGGGATACTCTTTCAGCCTAGACACGTGGGGGAGGGCCTAGGCCCTGTTCCAAATGATGTGACAGACTTTAAAGATCCCCCATGGAAGGCCTCACCCTCCCTGGGGAGCAGATAGGGGATGGGATGGGGGATTGATGGGGGGCAGGGGAGGAGGAGAGGGAGAGGAAACTAGGAACAAGATTGTTTCTAATTTAAAAAAAATCAGTGTTATAAGTCTACAGTAACAGTCTTAGATTTACACACACACACACACACACACACACACACCATCTCATCATCTATTTAATAGCTTACAAAACAATGGTGAAAACTTGAAATAACCTTCTCAAAGTAAGTTCATATTAGTTTCAGATCTTTTAGCAACATTTGGGAGATGAACTATGAGATGTATGAATGGCTTTGGCCTTACTTTCTTTTTAGCTAATACATTATCACTTTGTTCATCTTTGTACAGTTGTTAAGCATTATACTTGGGGCTAGGTGTATGGTGCAGTGGGAAAAAAAGCTGTTTGGTATATGTAAGGCTCTAGTTTTGATCCTTAGCATCAATACCAAATAATCAAATTCATGTTTATTACAGAGAGATCTTAATTTGGATTAATAAAAAATAAACCCAACAATCACATATATGAGGGTTTATTCCATCAGAATATCAAAACTTTCCACATTAAAAAAAAAAGCACATAAAGTCATCTTAAAGATAACTGTTACCTCTTGAGAATTATTTCCATGACATCTCTGGCATTGAAGTCGAAGGGTCTGTAGCCTTCCCGCTTAAAGGCAAGCACTGCATTAGGCCCTAACCAAACGGTACCATCCAGCTTCGGGGTGAAGTGAACTCCTAGGAAAGGAAAGCGGCTATCCGGGACCTGCAGATCCAACACAGCAGACAACTGTCAGCCTCATTCCACATCCCATCTTACTGCAGATACAAACTTAAATGACGAGGTCAGATTGCTCCTTCCAGACATTCGTATGCACTGGGAGTCTACTCAGACAGGCTTTTCTAACAGACTTTCTGGTTTAAAATACTGCTGACATTAATATATGTTGTCCCACGTATCCATCTCTCTGGGAAAGGTGGGGGGGAATTAACTGTTCTACTTCGTATTATTGCCTCTTTTCCTATGAGAGAAATCTGTAACTGGCAGGTAAAACATGGCTTCCAGGGGGGGAAAAATGCACACATTTACAGCACAGGCCTCTGTGAAGTGAGAAGCAGACGATTTAGTTGTTGGCAAGGCCAAAGCACCCATCTCATCTGGTTCACCTTACATACTTTGGGGGACTTGTTCATCAGCAGGGTTAATGTGGGCAGAAGAGTGAGCTTTTATTTAAACACCCTTAACTGACTTTTACCCCCCGGAGCTAGAATGGACTCCTACACAAAGTGCATGGCCACGAGTTGGGTCCCTCCTCTCCTGCAGAGGGGGGAGGGCCTGGTTTTCTTGTAGCACTTCCATGCTGTGCGCATGCTTTCTGAGATGCTCAAAGACCAGGAGAGCAGAAGGCAGCTTTAGGGATGTGACCACCAGAGACAGATGAAGTGACCAGGTACACAGCCCCCAAACCCACCCTTCCGATGCAGCCAAGAGCTTTTATTTGCATTTCCTTTATGCCCACGGCCAGTTTGATAATGAGACAGAAGTAGGAGTGACATTACCTACCGGATAAATATTTCCTTTTACAAGGTAGCCTTTTTCTGGCTTTAAGAGCAGGTAATCTCCCCTGAAAGGGACAATTTGGGGATCAGGATTACAGCCACTCAACTCTGAAATACGGTCTGAGTAAAGTCCTGCACATGTCACAACATAGCGACACCGAACTTCCTCTCCCTGGTACAAAATAAAACAGCACAGTTAGTTTCTACATAAGAGAAAGAAAATGTGGCCGTGCACTTGTCTAAGTGAAAGCTTATTAAAACAACAACAACAAAGCACCCCTCTAACTAGATGGAGAATTGACAGATTTTGAGATATTGGAGGAGATAAAGGAAGGTTGGGTCTAATTAACAAACTATAAGCATGTATAGAAACAGCACACTAAATCCCATTATATAGTTGATTATGCTAATTAAGATGTGCTTTTGGGGGAGGGGTGAGAGCAGTCTTACTCTGTAAGCCCTGACTAACCTGGAACTTGACCAGGTTGCCTTGAACTCACAAAGGTCTGCCTGCCTCTGCTTCCCAAGTACTAGGGATTAAAGGCGTGTGCCATCATACCCAGCTATATGTATGTTATTTCTGAAAAAGAATATGCTTATATAAAGAAACAGATAGGTCAAAAGGGGGAAACATGCTAAAAAAAATAAGGATAAATAAACATTTTTTTTTCTAAAAGAAGAAATTCAATGTAACTGTCAGCAAAGCTGGACCCTTCTTTTATAAAACTCACAAAAATGAATTTGAGCTGGCTATCATGGCCTAAAGTGTAGCTGTTGTATATCTTCCTTAGACAGGATGTTTGGCTAAGGGTGTGACTGCTGAATGTTTTGCTCCTTAAGCACTAATAACAGGATGTTTGAGCTATTAGATGTTTTGAATATTAAGGAAATAAGTGTTCTTTGTATCATGAAAAAGAAGTCTTTTGCCCTCCCCTTTGGCTTGAGGTATAAAAGGACTTTCACTAGAATGTCCTCCCAACTCTATGCCATACCTGTCCTTTCTTTAGTATCTTTAATTTTCTACCTGTCATTTCTCAATCCACACGCCTCCTTTCAAACAGGGATGGGACTAGTTGGGCGGGAACCCACATCTCATTGACACTTGAGGATATAGGGAATGTCCTATGGTTCTTGCTTTCGACTATGGGAGAATAAAGGAAGCAGTCATCTCCCTCTGCACAACCTATGCTCTCTTCCCCAAGTCTCTGTTAATAAGTGAATGTACAGCAATTGGCAGAGTGATAAAGTATCAGTTTGGGGGGCGGGGTGGTAGAGAGATGGTTCAGTTGTTAAGAGAACTGGCTATGCAGAAGGCCTAGGGTCCGTTCCCAGCACCCACACGGTGACTCACAATGTTCTGTAACTCCAGTTCCGGGAATCCAATGCCCTCTTATAATCTCAGAGGGCACCAGGAACACACACAGTGCACAGAGACACATGCAAGCAAAACACTCATACACATTTTTTTTTAATTCCCAAAGGACATGAAAGAGGGGAGACTAACTGCAAAGAGAAAGCTTAATAACAAGCAGGGAAAATGGTCAAAATATTTCCTTTATACACATAAAAACATAACAATGAAGCCCATTATTATATGTAATTACTATATATGCTAATATAAACATTTTTAAAAATCCATGTGGTGGCTGGTTCCCAAGGAACCACAATTGAAGTTGTGTTTTAACTCTCCCATGTATACACACACAATGCATATGCATACGCATATATCTGTACACACCTGAACATGTACATGCACATAAACAGACATACACAAAAGCATAGCAATCATTCAGTATAATTTTACTAGTAAATGAAAGTGAAAAACAGCTCAAGAATCTTTACCTTAGTACTCTTGACAGCAATTGGATGTTTCATCCCTGGCAGGGATAAAAAGAATTAGTGAATCTTTGGTTTGAGCAAAAGAAAGCTGTCATTATTTGAAATATTCTACCAGTAACAGATTTAAATGACTGTGTTAATTGTACTTTAATTTTCATTCTGAAGCTTCTATGAAGTAAAAAAACTAAAATAATTCATTGACAAAGTATAAACTCTGGCATGTTTTAGGATGCTTTCTTTTAATTCATTTAACTAACACACATTTCTCTAGCTCAGCCTAGCACAGAGCCCTACTTTTCACTAACAATACCGTGCTCTGCATGGACAGCAGTACCACCATAAATGAAGTGATTTTGACCCACAGAACTAAAGACGAGATATTAAACACAAGATAACCTTGTGTCCAAGTGCTGGCAACCTGATTCCTTGCAGTGGTTGTTCAGAAAAGCACACAAAAAATTCCAATAATGAACTGACCATTTATCAAGTTTGCTCCCCCTTATTGATGAAATATTAACAACCTATAAAGCATATGTATATGAAAAAGACTACAACCTATCTATATTGTGAATCTGACTTACTCTGCTACCCACTTATATACCCACTTATAGCAATTTTATTTAATGAATTTGTTTAACATCTTCGAGTGTAGAAAGGCACTGAGCAAGTGCTTCATACAATCCAGCTCTCCTTTAAACCCTGCTAAGGAAGAACTACTTGATTCTCCTTCAAATTTCCTTGCGGCAAACAGTGTTTGCAAGCCTCTTATTTAGCTAAAACAGAAAACTACGTCTCAAAGCAAAATAAAACAGGCTGTAACTGCATCTAAGAGGGGACAGTTGAGACTTGGGGAACAGGCTGAACTGCAATGTAAGGGGGAACAGGAGGTGAGACTAAGAATGGCTGAGTCTTTTGATGATATTGGTCTGCTGTTGGAAATCTGGGTGTATCCTAAGATAGCCAACCACTTACTATTGCGAAGCCATATCCCCAACAGTCTGATTCAAGAAGTCTAAATGGCACTAAAGTCTCATTTACAGTAGCATTGCAGAGAGGTGCCAACTCTAAGCTTCAGGGAACCATCTGGAGGCCAACTGTACATAACAACCTTGGCTGTCAGACTTTCGTGTCTACTCAGTGTCTATCTCTATCAGCACACAAACATCTAGGAACTGTGGGTCTGCTGTGTCCACTTGCACCCATGTCCCTTCTGCACTCCCCTATGACTCTGTGCCCAACTCTAGCCTGGTTCCTGGGAGTCTCCTACAAACACCACTTAGACAAAACAAAACAAAACAAAAAAACAAAAACCCGCCCTTTTTCTTTTTTAAAAAATACAAATATTTTATAGAGAAGACAGGATAGCTTACCATCCTTACTTCTGGAAGGGCTTTCTTTAGCTATTTCAATATCTTTTACCTCAAAATCCTTCAAGATAGCACCACCTGCATCTTGGAAATCCTGGGCAAATGACAAAGCTACCTGTTGATAGTCCACAATGCCAGTATATGGACAATCGATAGCCATTAGACCCTAGGACAAAAGTATAAAAATGTCAAATAATACAGTAAAGAATCAGTAAAGTTTTTTTAAAGCTTTGTTGTTGTTTTTGTTTTTCCAGACAGGGTTTCTTTGTGTAACAGCCTTAGCTGTCCTAGAACTCATTTTGTAGCCCTGGCTAGTCTTGAACTCACTGAGATTCACCTGTCTCTGCCTCCTGAGTGCTGTTCTCAGGATCTAAAATGGAATTATTTCTATACCATGCCCAAACCAGTAGAGGTCAAATGGCCTTTTTTTTTGTGTTTTTTCAAACAAATTGTTAAATTCTAAAGAGTTTTTCAATTAGCAGATAAAATTATTATGTTAAGCTTGTATGCCTTTTTTAACTTTACAAATTGTTTTATTCTCAAAGGCAATCCACGCCAGTGAAATTCTAACATAGTAAACATGAAATCCATGTAAAGCTATGAAATATTTGAATTTGGGGACATTTTATTTTTCTGAAGTTTTGAATTAGGTATGTCCAACTGGTAAGGCCTGTGCAAACATTCCCAAATCTGAAAGTTTTCTAGCCTACTGAATTTTCAGTAAGACAGATTCAGTAAGAGAGAGCAAATGGAATTCTATATAACTGAGAGAATAAACCAATGTACTGTGGAAAACTTTTTGGCCATATCTACCTAAGTTGAACATAAACACATAAACTATAACTTAATAATAATCTCTCTGACGTATATATCCAATAGCAATACTAACATATTTTACTAAAACATGTGTTCTAGGATGTTCATTCATAGAATCGTGATTTAGAACAGCTTGTGGAAACTACCATGTGCACTAGGTTGGTCAATCACTTACCCTACAATAGGGTTCCTTCTTTTTTATCTCCTCCTGCTGGATCAGTCTCAAGCCTTGGACTCCATTCTGCAGACCTCTCTCATACAGGGCCTGAAGTCTGGGAATTTCTTCTTGTTCAACAGCTACTATTAGCTTCAGAAAATGACAAAATGCATGAACAGAGTTAAAAATATAAAGTCACTGTAAAAATGACAAATTATCATATTTCAAACATGGTTGACTGAAATAAAGCACTTTTTTTTTCCTGTCATAAATCTACTGCTGTTCCCTTTGTTCATTATTTTACTTCTTTCCTTCATCAAGAAAAAAGATGTCTTAAGAAAATGGCATTAAAACTAATCTCCCCAAATGTGAAATGCAGCCTCAATTTCCATTTCTTGCTGAGAGTTGCAGTCTGATGTCAGCCATCTACAACTCTTAATCATTGCCACTCCCTCTATCCCAGCAACAAGAGAAATGCATGCTTAAAACTTTCACTTATTGCTTTTAAGATTTATTCTATGTGTATGTTTTGCCTACATGCATGTCTTTGCGCCATTCGTGTGCAATGTCCATGGAGGGCAAAGAGGGTCACGGGTCCCCTGGAACTGGAGTGACAGATGGTTCCGAGCTGCCTTGTGGGTGCTGGGAATTGAACCTAGATCCTTTGCAAGAGCAGTCAGTGCTCTTAACTTCTGAGCCATATCTCTAATTCCCTTTACATCTTTCAAAGTAAGTACCGTTCTTATTTCTCCACATAAAAAAGACAGTCAATAATCAGTACAATGAGGCACCATGCTCAACAAATTATTCTTTTGATGTCTTGACAAAAATTACAGAGTCTTTACTAACGCGGAGGGAAGAATTACATTTAATCAACTTTCCTCAGAACTCTTTTCCTGTATATTTCTGAGAAAGGTATCTGAAATTGGGTTTCTTCTTATTTTACAGAAAGGTAAAACACAGATACCCATTCATGGGTACATTAGCAGGCACAAGTCTCTATCTCATACCAGAGAGTCAACAGAATTCCCTGAGGTAAGCTTCTGGTCAATGTACAAAGGCTACTTAAGCCAATAAATGATTAACGTTTTAAACAAAAGTGAGTCAAAGCACACCTTCAAGAAAGTAGAAAGACAAATCACAACAGCATGGGAGTATTTGTAAATCATAAAGCATATAAAAATTTGCCACCTTGACCTCTTTCAACCCAATGAAAACTGTGACTTTCTACTTCTTTTTTCACTTAACAGTCTCTCAAGACATTTTCTCACATTACAAAAAAAAAAAAAAAAAAAAAGCCTGTAATTCTGTAATTCATCTTTAGTGACAATAATGAGCTTTCAGACTTTAAAATGTGGAAAAAAGGACATCACGGCCAAACTTACAGAAATAAGACTCATAAAGTGTGGTATTAACAACTATGCCAAACAAAGTAGACCAACTAGATGCTAAAATTGTTAGAAAGATACTTCTAGGCCGGGCGTTGGTGGCGCACGCCTTTAATCCCAGCACTGGGGAGGCAGAGGCAGGCAGATCTCTGTGAGTTCAAGGCAAGCCTCGTCTACAGAGTGAGTTCCAGGAGAGACTCCAAAGCTACACAGAGAAACCCTGTCTCAAAAAACAAAAAAATGAAAGAAAGAAAAAAGAGAAAGTTACTTCTGAAAATGACTCACAACAAACAACAAAAAACCTGGATTGCACCATGACAAGTAAAGCAAATAAAAATTTCCAACAAAGGCCAGGTGTGGTAGTACACACCTTTAATCCCAGCACTTGGGAAGCAGAGGCAGGAGGATATCTGTGAGTTCAAGGTCAGCCTAGTTTACATAGCAATTCCAGGACAGCCAAGGCTACATAGATAGATCTATCTGGAAAAACCAAAACAAACAAATAAAACTAAGATAAAAAACAACTTCCCACAAAGGAAAGGCTGGAGCCACATAGTTAAGAATCAAATCTGCGTTCAAAAAAAAAAAAAAAAAAAAGAGGAGGAAACATTTCTAAACCTACTATTATGAAGTCAGTGAACTCCTATAGACTACTGAGCATTTGTAAAAACAGATGCAAAAATCTTAGGCAAAACAATAAAACTAAATACAGCAACATATAACTAAGTGTTATATATCACAGGAAGATAAGATCAACTTAATATCCAAAAGCCAGTTACTATATGATACACTATAGTAATGAAGGAGGAAATAATAAAATCTCAATGACATTTGAGAAAAATCTAACACTCTGGTGCTTAAAAAAACAAACATACAAGCAAAAAAAAAAAAAAAAAAAACAAAAAACAAAACACCCAAGGGCTGGTGAGATATCTCAGTTGGAAAAGGCACTGGCCACCAAGCCCTTTGAGTTTGGTTCCTGGGACCTATATTGTACAATGAGAGAAGGTTTCCCACAGGTTATCCTCTAACTTTTATATGCACACCACAGTATATAAACAAAACCATGTTGTGTGCATGAGCACGCACACACACGCGCTAAACAAATGTAAAACACAAACAAATAAAAGACAACCAAACTGAAAAAACTAGTCTATTTATAGATAACAAGATCCTGCAGGTAGAAAAGCCTAAGAAACATGCACACACAAAAACCTGAAACAAATGACATTAAAAAATAATCCTCTCATAAAAGCATTAATGAAAATAAAATAGTGAGGAAAAAATTAACAAGAGGTGGCAAGATTTAGTACAATGGGAACTATAAAACAATCCGGGCAGTGGTGGCACATGCCTTTAGTCCCAGCACTCAGGAGGCAGAGCAGGTGGATCTCTGTGAGTTGGAGACTAGCCTGGTCTACAAGAGCCTCCAAAGCCACACAGAAACCCTGTCTCAATGCCCCCCACAAACACACAAAAAAAGATGAAAAAAGTTCCTTTTGTCTCCCATATCCATGTTACATATGCCACACATTTATTAGTCATTCTGTAGTCACCTACGATATCAGATTAACTGACATGGTATCATCATGCCCGTGTTCAAGTAACCCTTATTTCATTTAACAATGGCCCCAAAATGCAACAAGGGTCATGATGCTGGCAAGTGTTTCATGACATTACAAGAAGGATAAGTACAGCACAAAAAGGTATTCTGAGAAACAGACTGCTCAAATTCATATAACTTTTAGTAGGCCATGCTGCAAAAGTTGTTCTTTTAATAAAGTCATTGTTGCTAACCTCTAATATGCCTAATTTTATGTTAAACTGTATCACTGGTATGCATAGACAGGAATTACTAAAGTACACAAGGGGATAGAATAAAAGGAAAGACCAAAAGTAGTGTTATCTAAGACTTCAGACATTGGTGGGAAATCTTGGAACACATTAGGGAGGACTAATAGATATTGAATGCAAGATAAATACAGAACATTATCGTCCAACAGTAAAACAAATCACACAATTTAAAAAAAATGAGTAAATGATTGAATATACATATCTCTAAAGAAACTACTTAAATGACCAATAAGCCCTTAATAAAAGCTGTTCAAATAGGTACAACAACCCCCCTTCTGGGCCTATGTCCAAAAGAAAGGAAATCAGGATACCTACAGAGATTGATGGCACCTTATGTCCTTTAAAACATTATTCACAAGTAGCAAAGATGGAGAAGTAATGAGTGTCCAGCAGTGGGTGAATGAAGGAAATGTGGTGTGTAGGCTGTGCATGTATACCTTCCATACACACAAAGAAAAAGTATTGTCTCATTAGTTCTCACAATGAAGAAAGCCAGCTACACTGTTATAAAGCTATAGTTCCACTTGGCAGGCTGAGGCAGGACACTTAAAAGTTCAAGGCTGGTCTAAGCTACATTTTAAGACACTATCTCAATACAAAACCAAACAAAAAAAAATTTTTTTTCAATGACGTACTACTTCATATCTATCAGAATGGCTAAAATAAAAACAGAAAATAACAAGTGTTGGTAAGAATATAAGTACCATGTAAGGATACAGGAGCCTCATTAGTTACCAGTGAAAATGCAACCATAACATCTGGAAAAAAGCTTTTTACAGTTCCTTCAAATACTAAAGATGGAGTTCTCACAGGACCCAGAAACTCTATTTCTAGGAATATTCCACTGAGATATGACAATGGGATTCCATAAAAGTTACACATAAATACCTCTAACTGTATTGCTCATAACAACATAACAACAACAAAAAAAGCAGAAACAATTCAAATGCATATCAACTGATTGTAAGCACCTAAACAAAATGAGGCATATCCACATAATGGAGTCAGCCATACAAAAGAATGAAGTACTAATTAATGGTATAACATGGATAACCTCTGAAAACATTATGGTAAGTGTATATCTTTTTTAAATGGCATAGATTACCAAAGTTCTGACCTAATTCTATTTATAAGATATGTATAAACTGGGCGGTTGCCTTTAATCCCAGCACTTGAGCGGCAGAGGCATGTGGATCTCTAAGTTCAAGGGCAAGCCTGGTTTACAGAGCTCCAGGACAGCCAGGGCTGCAAAGAAGCCCTGTTTTTTTTTTTTTTTTTTTTTTTTTTAAAGATACATAGTATAAAGTAGGCAACTGTATAGAAAGAGAAAATAAAATACTTATTAGGCACTCAGGAGAGGTAGGAATGGAGAGTTGGTATATGGGTTATCTGGGTTATTCTGAGGGTGATGAAAATATTCTAAAATTAGTATTGATAGTGGTACAATTCTGTAAATATACTAAAAAACTATATTGTATACTTATTTTTTAGCTGGGCAGTGGTGGCCCATGCCTTTAGTCCCAGCAGGAGGTAGAGTTCAAGACCAGCCTGGTCTACATAGAGAATTCCAGGATATGCTCCACAGCTAAAGAGAAACCTGGTCTCAAAAAAAAGCAAAAAAACAAACCCAAAAAACAAACAAACAAAAAAAAAATCCCCAACTTATTGTTTGAATTACATAAAGTCAGTTGTCACACCATTTTTGTTATTCCTTAGACTATATTAAATTACATAGACACAGGAGTATGAAAAATCACATCCTTTAAAACTTTTCAACATTAAACCTAAGAAGATACTAGTTATAAACAAGCCAAGGCTCTAGTAAAATGCTATACCTTGCCACATTGCTTGTAGGGAATTCTCTTGAGGTTACAGTACTCATAGATGAGGGCTGCACCTTCTACACACAATTTAGCTTTCAGAGATTCAGGTTTATAGTAAATTCCACTATGTATGACACCACTGTTCCGTCCAGTCTGGTGAAGAGCTATAAAACAAGAGAGACAGGGTAAGAAAAGTAAATGACTCACACTAAACCTAAGAGGTGAACAACTAATTATACATGTAGCTATCAGAGGCCACATTATTTAAAAATTCGACCTAGATTTGTTCTGTTTATTGGCAACTTCCTATAGCAGCTATCCCTCCCACCGATGCCAAATCATTCCTGCCCATCTCTGATTTCAACTTAAGTTTTGTTTAAACACCATTTCACCAAATCACTTTAAAGGACTGCCAAGACTCTGCACATGCTGCAAGGCCTTTTCTGTCTTTTTGGAGGAAAGTGGGGTTGTTGAGGCTGATGGAGAATGAGCACACACCTGGGGAGGGCTATGCTGTTCCCTGGGGTACCAGTGTACTCAAGCTCCAGCAGCACATTTAGAGTGTAGCCTTGTGTGGTCTTCAGTCTCCCTACCCACTATCTTCTTCCTGCCATCTAGTAAGCCCTTGAATCAACACCTCCATTCAAGCCCTGGTCCCAGACTTTCCTTTCACGATAACACAAAACGAGACACTAACATCAACATTTTTCATGACTGATTCAGCCTGACAAAATAAGCAGGTTCCCTGCAAGCCAAGCTGATGGTGTACATACCTAAATCTTTCTCCTTTTCCACAACACCAATTGAAAGTCCGGGATGTTTCAGAATGAGTGTTCTGGCAGATGCAAGCCCCACAATTCCGCCACCGATGATGACTATATCAAATGAGCTTTAAGAAAAATCAAGCTTCACTTGCATAATTTTCATTAATGAGAAAGTACAAATTTGTAATAGCATGCTATTTATATATCATATATAACAAATATTACATTATATATCATATATATTGCTTATATATACCATATGTGATATGTAATGATATATATATATATATATATATATATATATAATATCACATTGTATGATAAAATCAGTGTTAAGGGTCCTGTTTATACTTCACTTATATAAGATTCTCAAAATGACAAAATTTTCTGATGGAGAATAGAGTAATTGCCAAGAGTTAGGAAGAATGGAGAGGTAAGATGTAACTAGAGAGGAATAGGTAACAAATCTTGTGGTGATGGAACATCTTAATTACTTATTTATTGACAATGAACAGTTTATTGTGCAGACAGAACACACACTGTATGTACAGACTGTTAATACCACAGCTACCATGGTTCCAAAGCATGACAAGGCTACAGCAGGCCCAGTTGCTCATTGCCATGTAAGGCAGCAATACCATCACCTAAGAGAAAACTTGGAAGCCATCTAACAAAGCAGATAATTTGGAAATGTTCTCTATACACTAAAGAAATGTTCACTTAAGCAAATATAAAACACACACACACACACACACACCATAATAGGCCTCATATTCTATATCAGATAGAATCTAAGAAAGAAAGAACCCAGGAGTTGAGCTTTTATTTCCTATGTTAATGTTGTACCACAGGTTGAGACACATACATCCAGCCTTCACAGGATGCAACCTCTACTCCCTCCTGTTCTCTAACGGCCACTTTAGGTGATGCTGGTCCTACTCAGTGCCCACTTGATGGAGTCAATGTTCTTCCCCCCTCTCAAGACAACCTCTGATAAGGGCTCCTGTTTCATTGGAGTCCACGTGCATGCCGTTCACACTCCTGACACGGTTCACCCTACGTTAAAGGGGGCTCTTAATTTGGGGCTCTTCACCACAGACAAGCTTCTCATCAGAACCTAAGGAGCAAGGTGGCCTGTTGGGGACTCTGGGCCTTAGGTGATGCTGGAGATGCTAGGATCTTCCCTTGGGCTTGTCTTTTCTGTTTGGGAAGCTGCAACTGCATTCTCCTTTTGGCCTGAAGTTAGTTCATCTCCTCAGTGGGGCTTCCTTTACGTTCCAGGCTCTTTGCCCTCCCAGACAGAATCAGATGTTGGCACTCTGCTGACTAGAGTCTCTGAGTGACTCTTCTGGTCACTGCACCTTCCTCAGCTTAGCTCTAACCGTGATGGAGCATTTATCATTTATCGTAGACTTCTGGAGGGCAAGCAGGGGGATTAGGGAAACTGTGGGTGGAAATGGAACAGGGGTTGAGGGAAGAGACAATTGATGGGTACCCCGAGGGAGGATAGGTTGTGGCCAAGGTTCTTTTCTCCGGAGATGGTGTAACAGACCCTCATACCTTAGCACAACTGACACCATTTGGAAGCACCATTCTGACCTGAGAACCCTGCAGGCAGGCCCCCAAACCTGTCAATATGGGAATAAGGACCTAATCCATCCAAGACCTAGCCCACAGTTCCAGGATCCAGGAAAGTTCTTAAATACGCCAACCTCTCGCCTTTTGGCTTCTGGAGTTTCACTTTTCCCTGTTTCTGCACAAAAGTCAAAGGACAGTGAGGCTCGGGGCTCCAAGGTCCCTGTGCAGCTGGTGCTGGAACAACACCGGCTTTTAAGAGTGTCCATGTTTGTTCTCTGGTGGAAGGGCCTCACAACAATAGTACTGCTAGTGTTTCATCACTTGTCTTCTCTGCAGGTCCATCCATTTCCTCAGGGAAGAGCCATTCTGCAACTGATGCTAAAGAGCCGTCTTGGGAATTCATGATGTTCAGGGCAAACAACGAATCTCAAAAAGATGGAGCAGGTAGGATGGCACACACTTTTCATTCCAGCACTTAGGGTGATCTCTGAGAGTTAGAGGCTACATAGGGAAACCTTGTTCAACACCATTGTACAGCTTAGTCCTTAGACTAACATGTGCTGTGACACTGTCCCTCTCCAGTGTCTTTTCACACCTTCATCTTCCACTAAATCACTCATATGGCTCACCTTCCTGTCTCAAAACAACGAAAAGCTTTACCCCTTAAAGCTTTCGCAGAGCACAGCATTCACCAGCTTTCATAGACAGCTCACAGCGGGCAAATGAGTTGCTTCGTTGCGGGTGGGGGCGTGGGGGAGGGGGTCGCACAATTCTAATATTGGCAAGGGACTGACCTACTGAAGCCCAGTTCTGGATCTCCCATGCATCACAGGGAATGCTAGCTAAGAATCAGTATATTTATTTACAGTGTGCTAGGTCCCTTAATCCTCACAATGACCACCTAGGGGACAGACTAGAATCCTATTTACCCTTCAGCCTTTAAAGTGGTTAGGAAACGGAGATGAGGGGTGTATTTCAGAGCCAGATTCGCTCCTGACCTCCACACAACACTGCCTTTCCTCCCGCCTACAAATGCTGCGGATGAACCCTGCAGTCAGCAGCTCCTGGAGTCCGATACCAGACCACAGAATCAGGACCTCATCGCCAGGGACAGAGACGTCGAGTCAGGGCACGCGTCCAGTTCGAGACACCTCAGAGGGGAGCAAGCGCAGGCCAGCGCTACTCACTTACCTGGTGCTGGAGCTGCGGTCACCCCCGCACAGCAGCCCGGGCCCCCCGGACTCCCGCTCTCTTGCCCGGAGGAAGCCCCCAGCAACGTGGCGTCGGGCCCGACCGCAGGCACCGCCCACGTAACGCAGAGTGGGCCACATGGCCTGCGCCACCAACCTGCCCTGCCCCAACCCCAGCAGCAGCAGCGCGAACGACTCCACGGGTGAAGCTCGCCGCTCTCAGCCCCGCCTCCAAGCGAGGGCCAATGAAATGCCCGCCTTTGCCTTCCGTGGGCGTGGCCCCCGTTGGCCAATGGGCGGACGCGGTGGAGGGAAAAGCCAGAGGGCGAAGGGCCGGCCAGACGCAGGGACGCCGCGCGTCGTGAGTAGGGAAGCGAGGTCACAGGAGGGCTCCGGGTGGTGGTTCCGCTGTCTCGGGCCTCGGCGGGCGCTGGCTTGACTGGACGCCGGCGCTAGGCCGCCAGAGAAGGCTGTGCGCGGCGGGGTGACTTCTGGCTGCCGCGGCCTCTCCTTCGGCCATGTCCTCTGGTCGGTTGGCGACGCCCTGGTCCGGGAGCTAGGGTCTAGCTGAGCCACCTCCTGCCTCTCTCCGTCTCCAGCGCGCCAGAGGCTTCTGGGTCCTTCGTGGGGCTCCCGATGATGTAGTTCATTCAGCTTGTAAATTTCGGGAGCTGAGCCTGGTGCTGCTGAAAGTAGACAGCTTAGTCCCTCATCATTCAGTACTTAAAAAAAAAAATATATTTGTGAGTGTGTGTGTGCCTGCATGAATTAATGTGCAACATGTGTGCACAGGAGCCCACAGAGACCAGAAAAGGCTGTAAAGATCCTCTGGAACAGGAGGTTTTGGATAATTGTGAGCCGCCATATGGGCTCTGGGAGCCAAACCTTAGTCCTAGGGTAAGACTAGTTAGCAGTCTTAACCACAGAACCTTCTCTCCAGCCGCAACCTTCTCTTAATCACTGGACCAAGACATGGTTTTTAAATATCCATGTCTTGGAACAGCCACTCATGGAGCAGGTCACTTTAGTCGTGTTTCCTCCGCTATGAAAATGGGAGCTATGTAATCGTCTAAGGACTTTAAAAGTGAGTGTGATTCCCATGCTCTGCTTGATGGTTTTTTTTTTTTTTTTTTTGGGTTTTTTTTTTTTTTATGGTTAGAACAGCTTAACAGGACCAAAACAGAATGAATGGCAGACTATTGCTGGAAGGACTTGGTTTGAATTTTGGTGCCAGCCAGTTGGCTTAGGCTCAAGGAAATCTTGTCACCTCCACCTCAGATATGTTTCTGTTTACTAGTGCCACTGAGCAGACCATGGTGTCTGTGAGAATATTCATCAGACACTGAACTCAGCAAAGCATTAGCTTTTTAAATTATGTTTGAATGGTTTATGATACTAGCAGTACTAGACATTTTAATTCATTGGTGGGGAAGGAACAGTGTTCCCTGATTATTCCATCACAGGTGAATAGCATGGATAATTGGTGTCTTAGTTAGGGTTTCTGTTGCTGTGAAGAGACCCTGGCTACTCTTATAAAGGAAAACATTTAATTGAGGTGACTTACATTTTCAGAGGTTCCATTCATTATCATGGCCAGGAGCATGGCAGCCTGTAGGCAGACAAGGTGTTGGCTACGTCTTGATATATAGGCAATAGGAAGTAGACTGAGATATTGGGTCGTATCTAGAGCTTATATGAAACCTCAAAGACCACCTCCACAGTGACACACTTCCTCCAATAAGGCCAGGCCTCCTAGTAGTCCCTTTGAGGACCATTTTCTTTCAAACCGCCATAGTTGTATTTTAAATTCACTGTATTTGTGGTAATTGTAGGTTCTTATGCAGTTGTAAGGATGGAATTTTCTATTCTGCCTGGCCCTACAGCCATTTAGTCCCAAATGAACACAGAGGCTTATATTAATTACAAACTGTTTGGCCAATGGCTCTTTCTTATTGGCTAGATCTCTCTTAATTATTAACTCATTTCTATTAACTAATGTATCTCCACATGGTTTTGGCTTTCCAAAGAATGCCAAGGCATCCTGTCTTCCCAGTAGCTACATGGCATCTCCTGCATGACTCACTTTCCAAGTTCCTCTTCCCCAAATCCTAGTCTGGTAGCCCCAAGGATGCTTCCAGATGCCCTCTGTCTCCAACCAGGAAATAAGAGATCAAGCTGGGTTTGGGGACCCCAGACCTAGTCCTCCAAGGTCATGCCCGCACCTGTCCCCACGATCCAATGGGTGTGGTTAATGCAACAGGTGTGAGCAGAGTGGGTATTTCACTACAATTCCCCTTTTAATCTAAAGGAAAGATTTTGGCTTGATACAAAACTATATACAAAGACAGCAAATATCAAATATGCTCTTTAGGAAAGGGAAAATTAAGAACATACTTAAAACCTATTGCCAGTGAGGTAACGAGTAAATGGCAAGAACTATGTGTACAATGTTCTATCTGCATGTTTGCCTGCATACCAGAAGAGGGCATCAGATCTCATTGTAGGAGATTATAAGCCACCATGTAGTTGCTGGGAATTCAACTCAGGACCTCTGGAAGAGCAGCCAGTGCTCTTAACCTCTGAGCCATCTCTCCAGCCCATGTGTGGTGCCCATGGAGGTCATAAGAAGGCAAGTGATCCCCTGGAACTGGAGTTTCAAGGGCTTGTAAGCTGTCATATGGATTCTAGGAATCAAACGAGTGCTCTTAATGGCAGAGCATCTCTCCAGCCACATAAGTATAACTTTAAAAGCCCAGTGGTCAGTAGATGATATGAAATGGTGTGGCATGCTGGTATCGCTGTTGCTGGGCCAGACCTGCCAAGGGGTGGGACAGCCCTTGTCAAGTAGATCCTCTGGTGGAAGGCCCTCACTCACTTCATAATACTACCCAGCATGGGCGTGATGAGGATGCTCCACGTTTCCTGACATTGCAACATAAAGAGCACTAGAGATCCAAGTTGATTGCTTACCCCACCTCTGAATCAAGACCAAGCCCTTTCCCTGGGGCAGTGGTAGCCACACCCACTCCCATAACCCTTATGTTAATCCATTTCTGTCTGGCTCTGAAGATGAGTTAAAAGAATCTGGACCCACACTCAGGCAGCAAAGGGCTACAGCACTGGTTTGAACTATTACTCTGCCTATGGACCACAAAAACATATGGGACACTAAAGTCATCTTCTATCAAATGTGACCATTATGCCAACCTACCATCATCCTTCCTTGTGGGAGGAGATGACTTATATACAAAATCTTAGAAAAGAATCCTGCAGTCTTTAAAATTTTCAAAATGTTAAAAGTCCCAATTTTGGGTCAAGGTCCTTTCTCAGGGAGACCTGGCCTTCCTTCATTCAAGGAGTTCTAGATCTCTACACTGGATGGAGTCTACAAGTTGGTTGCTGCCTAGATTCCATAGTGCTATGCTACAATGTAGCCTTCCTTTCTTTTGTTCTTAGGATTTTCTGCTTACATAGATCAAGCAATAACTTAGGCTTCTTGCTGAACCAAAACTCCACACAGGTCAGGCTGTTATAAAGATGCTTCGCCTCTGCCCCCATTACAGCAAATATACCCATTTTGCCTCTGGTGGTTTAATGCTGCACCCTGATCCCCGCTAATCCAGAACTCAAACCTATCACGTTTAAGTCAGTGTTGTCTGGCACAAGTAGGAGAGCAAGCAACAGCAAAGCTCTTCAATGTGATGGTGCCACTCCCATCATTTTGAGTTTTTTAGGATTATTGAAGGCCATGTCTTCTGGACCCTCCCACGGAGAACCAGGTTTTACAGTACCCACTCCAGCATTCCACTTCCCCCGAGCCTTAAAATCCCTTCATGGACACTAAGCCAAAGTGTCAGATGCCACCAGCTCCTTTACTGTAGGCCATCTTGTGACAAGCTCTCCAACCGACCAATCAAACTTAAGACTTTTTTTTTAAGCTGTGTGAGCTTCCATATTAAAGAGTCCCCACTTGGTGGCTCCATATCTATACATTTAACCTAATCCAGTTTTATGTTCCTTCCACCATTATCCCATATTTTAAAAAAATTCATCCCCATATAATTTCCCAAAAATTTTGCTTGAATGAATTAGCAAATTTATCAAGCTCTTTAGTGGTTGGTATAGCACACTTCCTCAAGGACTATACACTTTCTTTCTTACCTCTAGGAGGCCACTTAGCCTTGACTCTGGTTACAGGTACAAAGGCAACTGTTGATGAGCACTGAGGGACATCAATGTTGCCTTGCTTGGCACCTCCTACAGAGTAGGTCACTGCCAGTTCAGCTGACAATGAAGCGTTTATTTCCTCAGACATGGGTAGAGAGGGCAGTGCTGCAGGGGTTTGGGATAGGGATGCATCCTCAGCTAAGGATAGAGAAACTACTTCCCCAAATGAGATAAACCCTTCAGAGTTTGAGTTTGAGGTTTTAAAGTCCTTAGCTTCATAAGGATCTTTCCACACATCTCCATCCCAATGTACAGGATCCCATTCCCACCCAATCAGTGCTCTTACTTGATGGAAGATGTCATTTTATAAATATGTTTCTCATACTCGTTAATGAATAAAGCACTGATGGCCAATAGGAAAGCAAGATAGGCGGGACTAGGAGACAAGGAGGATTTGAGGAAGTAGTAAGGGCAACATGTAGAGACCGGGGAGAACACAACGCCAGCCCCTCTCCGGTAAGATAAGACCATGTGGAAATACTTAGATTAATAGAAATGGGTTAATATTTAAGACAGAGCTAGTGGATAAGAAACAAGTAACTGGCCAACAGCATTATATCAAATACAGAGTCTCTGTGTGTTAATTGGGGCTGCCGCCATGGTGGGTCCAAGCCGGCAGGGGAAAAACCTTAACTTGCAACACTTACTTTAGTTGCCAATGCCTTCTGAGGCAAGGATTCAGCTAGTTTTATAATGAGGGTTTTCAACAACTTGGGCTCTTTCCAGTGTACACTTAACAAATTTTTAGATTGCTTATGTGCATCTCATTAATTCTATCACTGAGTTCATTCTTCTCCATTGTCAGATGTCAAAAGCAAGCAGCCAGCATAGTCATTTTCCTTATTTTTATTTATTTATTTTGCAATTTGTCTTTTTTGATGTATAGTCACTAAATTCCTTCCTCCTCACAAGACACGAATCAGAATCATCAAATGAATTTACCTCAGTAAGTTCTTTAAATAGTTTATACCTTGCATTTATAGCATTCTGCATGCTACCAGGAAAACCTTCAGTTACTGTAGGTTTCAAAGAATTGGAAAGTCAGCTCCAGAAACCACCAAGCCTGCTAGGAAAATTCATCCTTATGATTCTATTTCTTTAGAACCACTCATGGTACCACAATTAGTCAGTGTC